CGGGGGGGATGAGGGACCTGCCTGGGGGTCAGTCCTCACACCCCTCCTTGTGCTGCCTGCAGGAGAGCGAAGAATGGATCCTGGTGGGAAGGGTGATTGACCGTGTCTGCTTCTTCATCATGGCCTCCCTCTTCGTGTGTGGCACTGTTGGCATCTTTCTCATGGCTCACTTCAACCAGGCGCCTGCCCTGCCCTTCCCCGGGGACCCCAAGCAGTACCTTCCACAGTAATGCCCTGCCAGCTCTCCTGCTGTCCTGTTGTCACCCCCAAACCAGCCTGCCCAGCCCAGATCCCTGCAGGCACAGCAGCTCCTGGTGCCAAGCTGGGGGTGGTGGGGCTCTGCCACCCCCCAGCAGTGGTGGTGATGGGGAAGGAGGGAACATGGGGTGGCTGTGTTGTGCTGAACGTGGAAATAAAGCCCGTGGCAGCTTCATGAGCCCCCATGGCATCATTGCTGCATGCCCACTGATGGGGTCATCCCTCTCAGACAGGCTGAATGTTCCACCCAATCAGGCTGGCCACAGACCTCTAAGCCACGCAGCCCTGTCCCAGGACCCCACAAGGGTGCTGAGAGATGAGACAAGGGAGAACCAGAGCAGAGTCCGGCATCTTGGACTTGATGATCTTAGAGGTCTTTTCCAACCTTAATGATTCTATGATCTGATGGGCCATGCATCAGTGCTGGCAGCAAGAGCCACGTTACCCCACTACAAATTCACAGCTTCAAGCCCAGGGCAAATGGGGCCCGTGGCACCCCTTGCCATGGCAATGATGGCAATGGGGCAGGAATCACGGATACAGCCCCCCATCCCAGGGCAGCAATGGAACCAGGGATGGGTTAGGAGCAGCTAATGCATCCCTCCATTTACGCCCTGGCCGTGGCTCTTGCAGGCAGCGGAGTTGCTGTCCCTGCTCCCCAGCAAGCAGCTTAGAGTGGGAAGATCCTGGGCCACCAGGTACCCAAACTCCCTCAGGGCTGCTACGGGCATCACTACATGACTCCCTCCCCCGTCAGCCCTCCCTGCCCCACAGGATCATGTCTGTCAGCCATGGCCCCTTCCCCCCCATCCCAGCGATGCCGTACCCCTCCCATGCCTGTCACTGACCTCTGGGGCCGCTGTGGCTTTGTCTCTGCTGGCGGGGGAGATGTGGGAGGTCAGCTTGGGAATGGCAATGGGCAGCGTCTGCTCCTCTGGGGTCCAGCTCACGCCACCTGCATCCAGCTCCGGGACATGCTGTGTCTCCATCAGCCTCTTCATCCCATCACCAGCTGCCTCTGCTGCTGCTGGGAGAAAACCAGCTGGTTACTGTCTGCAACTGTCTCCTGGCACTGGCTGCCAGAGGTGAGGGCACTGCAGGCACGGATGGAGGAGGAAGGCAAACACCCAGCAGCTGAGACATCATCTCTTGGACACCTGCAGCCTGGCCATGGCCCAGAGCCACCCTCCGCCTATACCAGCCTGCCTGTGGTCACTGCAAGGTGGCTTTTCCTGCCCTGTCCCCAGATGTACTATTCCCATGGCACTAAGACCAGGTGTATGTGGCATTTGAGGCTGGCACCTTGAAACAGGCAGGGACAGTGCCCACCAACACAAGCAGAGGTGCCCAGACGTGTTCACGAGCACCCAGTGCCCTGGTTGGGTCCTGCCTCCCGTTCCCCTGCCTGTGTCACCTCCCATGGGGGCAGCCCTGTGGCCACAATCTGGGTGAGGTGACCATGTCCTCCTGCCAGCCACAGCCTTCTTGCTGGTGAATGACGGCACTGCACAGCACTCCTGTTCCCCCACAGCCACCCCATGGTGATGTCCTCTCCCCAGTTCCACAGTGGCTGAAGGGGCAGGCTGCCCTCACCAAGTATCCCCAGCCCTGTGAGAGCCAGGAGTTGCCAGAAGCTGTCCAAACCACAGCACCAGGCATGTCCCCAGCCCCTGGGCTCTCCCTCCCCAAGAAGGTGCAGAATTAATGAGCTGTCTTTGCCCATTGATTCCTGTCTCCCCCTCGCCCTGCTGCCAGTCTCCAGGGCAAGGGGACTCTGAACAGGGCCGGGGACTGTCACTCACCTCTCCCCACTCTGCAGAGCTGCTGCTTCTTCCAGGTGAGCTCAGTCCCTGGCACGTCCATATGGCACAACCAGAAAGGAACAACCTCTTGCAGCCTGCCAGGAGCACGTGACTAAGACCATGTCCTCCACCATCCCCAAGCACTGGTTTCACCTGCACTCCCAAGGTCCCTGGGGTTTATCACCATTCCAGAGTCAAGGACAAAAAAAACCCCACAGTAGTTGTGATGCCACAGGCCTCAGGCAGCAGATGTGTCTTGCAGGAACTGGTGGGGGAACACCTTGCAGGTCACCCTGCCAGAGCTGGTGGGGTGCTGGAGGGACTGCAGTGAGAGAGGAAAAACCCTCCCAGCCCAGCATCAGCCCATGTGCCTGCACCCCATCAAGAAGCACAACAAGCCCCTTCAAGCATCCCCCAACTGCTCCCATCCAAAACTGGACTCCTTTCTGTCTGTGGGCTAGGAAGCAGATTTCCTCCTTACTTCCAGCTTGGAAACACCCAGTGGACCCCCATCACTGCTCCCTGAGCCCCCCAGCCAAGCCCAGCTCAGCCATCAGCCCTCTCTTGGCCAGCCATAGCCAGAGACACGCAGGGTCCGCGAGCCCATCATGGCCCAGCATCCCCTGGGGAGAGAAAATCCCTGGGGCTGGACTCCAGGGCTGGAAGAGGTTCAAAGCTCTGCTGCTTACCCCAAAGGGATCTGAACAAGTTTACAGCTGGACAAAGCCTTCAGGATGAGAACAGAGGTCATGACTCACCGAAGACTTGGGGCTCCTACAGCTCCAGGCTTGCTTCCTGAATGAAGAGGATCTGAAACCTTTTTCTAGAGCATGACAGAGGCTCCTTCCCCTCCCAAACAACCCCATGGCTATATTTTCACCACTCTTACTAACAGAACACAGCAGACCACAACCCAAAAGCCCTGCTCAAAAAATAGTCTGGTTCCATCCCTTTCCAAGCCATAGCAGGCACCAAACTTGGTGTTTGGCACTGATGGAACTCTGCTTTTCTTCTGACCTCAGGAAAAGTTGTAGCCCTAAAGAGGACAAACTCCACACCCCAGCCTGTTCACTCCCTTCAAGGCTGAGCAAGAGGAACCAGTGCCAAGTTCCTCCAAATCTCAACCACGGCAGCAGCGGGAAGAGAGGAGCAGCCCCCCAGGGAAGGGCTCTTCCACAGCTCACTCGCAAAGCGTTATTTAAGGGCAAACACAGCAGGACTGCAGCATTTTCAGATTTAATAGCAAGCCTGTGCTCATCAGCACCAGCTTAGACGCAGGGCATCAGAGGCGAGAAGTGGGTGAGTACATGAAATAGCAGAGGTGGACGCGACGCGCAGCTGGGCACAACAACAGGACTAAAGCCCTAAGTGATGTCATCTGCAAGAAGCTAAATGCGCTGTGGATAAAAGGAGCCTGCAGCTAGTATTTCAGCCTTTCCTTGCAAGGCTATTTTTGCTTAGATTGCCAAAATGTAATTACAACTAAATCCCCCCCTAACAAATGCTGGAGAGCAGCAGGGGAGAGTCGTATTTAAAAGGAATTTTAAGTAGCAGCGGTAGTAGTACCTGATCGCAGCGGGGAAAACAAACTGCCTGGAAAAGAGCATTTGGTTGAGAGCTGGTGACAAACAAGTGGCAAGAGCAGGAATAGGACTGTGGGGTCTTGAGAAACACAGAGAGGGGATGCCACCACAGCCCAGGGAATTGCCCTGCTCCCTGCCCAGCCAGATACCAGCAGGCACAAACTCCCTGAGCACAGGGAGCACTCAGTCATCGCTGTCAGTGTGCTGAATGCTTCTAGAGACAGCCCAGGACTCACACCCTCAACGCAGAAAACAAACCCTTCAGAAGACTGAATATTTTCAACTGTTTTCTTTGCCAGTGCTGGCTGCTTTCAGTCTAAACTTCAATAATAACATGAGGAATCTGCCATTGGAGTCAGGAATCTGAAGGTCTCCTGGTTCCCAAGGGCAGTAATTGTCCCAGACACGGGCCTCTAGTTCTGTGGTCACGACCAAATTGGCCCAAGCAGCCCCTTCTCCTGGGGAACGGCACAGAGCACGCATGGGAGGAGACGTGCCCCGTCTCTGGCCGCAGCCTCCCCTCCTGGGCCTGACGCAAAGGCTCTTATTAAAAACGAAAGGCAATTGTGTGATTCCCCAAGGAAAAGGGGAAAAGGCTGGAGCTGTTAATGAGTACAATTAGCGTTGGAGTCAAGCAAAATCAGAGGAAATAATTAGCTCCTATTGTTTCTGTGGCATCCCAATTGCAGCCATGCTGGCTTTCCAGGCAACAGCTCATCAGTGTAGCCTCACCCTGGGGGACAGGAGATATTGGGG